GTAAAGAAACGAATCTGATTAGAGAGTGATCGCGTATCCTCCAGACAGATCCATGGAATCCCTTCCCCTTAGGTTGATTAAAGGGGTTTTAGCCTAGCATGGCTAGGATAAACATGATTAAAAATTAAAATAAAATAAAAAGAAGAAGAACAAGATGAAGAACGCGAAGAACGCTTCAGATAAATTTGCTTTGATCCTCAAATTCGAAAATTACAGAATGAATAAAAGTTTCCTACTCTGCTGTCATATACCCCTACCCAAATCGGGTTAGGGCTCAGTTCTGATCGGCCCATCTATAATACGAAATAAAATAAATAAAAAATAAAATAAAACTAAAACTTGGCTTTGGGCCACTTAAGTAATTGGGTTCTAATTTAAATTACAAGTCCAATACTAAAATAAAACTTCAGCAAAACGCGTCCAACTTGGCGTCAGAAATAGACCAGCTTCCAGTTCGAATTGGGCTTCTAGATCTTCATAAGAGTTGTATCTCTCTATGTTATCTGAAAAACCCAACAAGAAAGGAGTCAATCCGACAACTGTGGACCAAGATATGGCCAAAATACATAAGTAACGTAATGCTGAAAAATTCTGACGAAAATAAATTAAACCAATCAAAAACTAAAAATCTAAATTAACTCAAAACATCATTATTTTATTCAAATAAATCCTAAAAATACTAATCAAGAGTAACTAATAAGTGCAATAAAATATGAGTTATCAAGTATATTTCAAAATGTTTAGTTTGTCAAAAAATGAAAATTGAACATCAAAAGCCTTCAGGAATACTTCAATCATTAGACAAACCAGAATAGAAGTGGAAAAGTGTAGCCACTGATTTTGTGATGGGTTTACCAAGAACTCAAGAGGGGTATGATACAATTTGGGTAATCATTAATCGATTAACCAAATCTTCTCATTTTCTACCAATTAGAGCCCAATATTCCATTGAAAGGTTAGCCCAACTGTATATAAAAGAAATTGTCAAACTTCATTGGGTATCTCTAAGTATTGTGTCAGATAGAGACCCTAGATTTACCTTTAGATTTGCAGCGAGCCTTTGGAACTAAATTGAGACTTAATATAGCTTACCATCCTCAAATTGATGGTCAAACTAAAAGAACCATTCAAACTTTAGAGGATATACTTATAGCTTATATTCTTGAATATAGAGATAGCTGGGATATATACTTGTCATTAATAGAGTTTGCCTATAACAATAGTTTCCACTCTAATATTGGAATGGCTCCATATGAGGCACTTTATGAAAGAAAGTGTAGATCCCCAATACGTTGGTATGTAAAAAGGGGGCAAAATAATTGTTGGGAAAATCTAAAAAAAAAACTTATGGGGTGTTTGGTATGGGTATTTGGTATGGAATGATGGGGAAGTGGAGTGGGGAATAATTAATTACCATGTTTGGTATGGGTATTGTGAAAAAAATCTCAGCAAATATTTTTCCCCGGTACTTCCCTTTTCAACTACACAAAGGCAAGTAATTATCCTACTGATCCTTTGGTATTTTTTTTTTTGCCTATGGTCTTGGATTGTGAATATAATATGTTGAGTCAAAAACACCCTTCTGATTTATGACCGCATGTGGTCAATAGATTTATCACAGAAGCACGCCATCGTCACTTTCGCGTTCTTGGTCTTCGTCTGCGACAAACTCGGTGGTGTGGCTGGTAGGTGGGTGGTAGGTCAGTCAAACTATGGGTTCTCACTACATCTTGGTTTGCTCCGCAGAGACAGCCTTAGAAATATGAACGTTTGAATATGAATAGTTATTCATATTCAAAAAATTAAAGGGTATTTTGGTATTTTCGATTCACATTCTCATCAATATTTTATCATTAACCAAATATAGCATCAGTAAAATGAATCCAACTTTTCCGGCAAAATTTTGGCCAACCAAATTCTTTTTCGTAATTTACCTGAGCTAATTAAAAAAATTCCTACCAAATCCCTAACCATCTTTTTTTCTTGGTAAAAAAAATATCTCTCATACCAAACATCCTCTTAAAGCAAACAGAAAAGTTATGTTGTTCATATATATATATATATATATATATATATATATATATATATGAACAACATAAATTTCATAATCCTCTAAATGATTTGAAAATAAATTATTAAATGCTTTATAAGTTTTTAAAACATTAGATTTTTTTTAACTTTAATATTTCAATACTTATTATTTGAAGTAATGAAAACTAATATGAACGTTTGAATATGAATAACTTTTCATATTCAAAGAATTAAAAGGTATTTTGGTATTTCCGATTCACATTCTCATCAATATTTTATGATTAACCAAATATAGCATCAGTAAAATGAACCCAACTTTTACGGCAAAGTTTTGGCCAACCAATTTCTTTTTCGTAACTTACCCGGGCTAAAAAAATTCTTACCAAATCCCTAACCATCTTTTTTCCTTGGTAAACAAAATATCTCTCATACCAAACGTCCCCTTAAAGCAGACAGAAAAGTTATGTTGTTCATATATATATATATATATGAACAACATAAATTTTATAATCCTCTAAATGATTTGAAAATAAATTATTAAATGCTTTGTAAGTTTTTAAAACATTAGAGTTTTTTTAACTTTAGTATTTCAATACTTATTATTTGAAGTAATGAAAACTAATAAGAACGTTTGAATATGAATAACTTTTCATATTCAAAGAATTAAAGGGTATTTTGATATTTTTTAATTCACATTTTCATCAATATTTTATCATTAACCAAATATAGTATCAGTAAAATGAACCCAACTTTTCCGGCAAACTTTTGGCCAACCAAATTCTTTTTCGTAACTTACCCGGGCTAAAAAAATTCCTACTAAATCCCTAACCATCTTTTTTTCTTGGTAAAAAATATATCTCTCATACCAAACGTCTCTTAAAGCAGACAGAAAAGTTATGTTGTTCATATATATATATATATATATATATATATATATATATATATATGAACAACATAAATTTTATAATCCTCTAAATGATTTGAAAATAAATTATTAAATGCTTATAAGTTTTTAAAACATTAGATTTTTTTTAACTTTAGTATTTCAATACTTATTATTTGAAGTAATGAAAACTAATATGAACGTTTGAACATGAATAACTTTTCATATTCAAAGAATTAAAGGGTATTTTAGTATTTCCGATTCACATTCTCATCAATATTTTACCATTAATCAAATATAACATCAGTAAAATGAACCCAACTTTTCCGGCAAAATTTTGGCCAACCAAATTCTTTTTCGTAACTTACCCAGGCTAAAAAATTCCTACCAAATCCCTTCCCATCTTTTTTCCTTGGTAAAAAAAATATCTCTCATACCAAACGTCCCCTTAAAGCAGATAGAAAAGTTACGTTGTTCATATATATATATGAACAACATAAATTTTATAATCCTCTAAATGATTTGAAAATAAATTATTAAATGCTTTATAAGTTTTTAAAACATTAGATTTTTTTTACTTTAGTATTTCAATACTTATTATTTGAAGTAATGAAAAGAATTTATAAAAATATAACATGAAGGTAAAACATTAATAGTAAACAATCTTATCTTCTTAATTTTTAACTAATTTTATTTCACTTTATTGTTAAAATAATTAGCTGTTCATTAGTGTATCGTTGGCTTAATTTTAACTTTAGCAGATGTAATATTTTGTTCCGATGGGTCATAATTTAAGAGGAACGAGCTTCCACGATTTCAAAGTTGTTGCACATATTTGTTCGAAGACCAAGGTAAGCTATCCTTTTAGGTAAATAATAAGAGTAATACGTAACTGTTTCCTTAAAAAAGAGTAATACGTAAATGACAATTATTTGCAAACTTAAAAGATATTTCTACGGTCAACATTCGTATCTGTTTATATATCTTCTCAAGCGATTTGATTTATCAAAGAAAAGTATGGCAAACTATAAAAAGAATGACATAAAATTAGAGTTCTTGCATGTACTCGAATTAGAGTCTGCTTTCATTTCAATTTTGCTTTGCCAACCCCGTTTTACAATAAAAATCTTTACCGTGCCGTACCTCATATTATTATACACTAGACAAAACAGGAGATATTACCCAAAAATAATTAATGTTGAGTGCCATTCATGCTCCTTTCTACATTTCCATTGGGCAGTTGGACAAGCTTTCAAATGCTTTTCTTAGATCACATCTCACAAGTTACAAATATCACTGTTTCCATCGATACATCCTATATATGCAAGACAATGATTTTATCCAAAAGTTACGATAAGGGGTAGAGCATAAGGGAGTTTACTTGCTAAAAAGTAAGATATTGAAAAGGGGTATGTACCCAAAAATATATTGACACGTAGAAGTGGTTGTCATCTTTGAAAAAAATTGAAAAAGTCCAATCTCTTAATCTCTCTAACTACACAAGTCCCCTATGGCCTGTCTCTTCCTCGTTTAGGACTTTGGGGTGCCCATAAATTGGAGTAATTGCTCGCTCGGTTCTTCATCACTTTTTGTCTTGGATACAAAAACATTGCATCCCTTTGACAAAGTAGAACATTCATCTCACTTCATTTCTTAGCTTTTTTCCATATTCTCCGTCGGCGATGGCTGATAATTCATCAAGCAATGGCAACAACGAAGTGGTTTTAAATTTAAACGGTGATGCCTCCAAAAAGTGTGACGGCATCGAGGAAGACTGTGTGCCATTTTTGCAGAAGGTGTCTCTCCTAATCTTTTCTTTCCATATACAAAAAAGTGGTTTCTTCTCTACCCAAAAATCATTCAAATGCTGTGTTTCCCAACCCATATGGGTTTTACAAAAATGAATTGTTGTCCCTGATAAAATTCCAAACTTTTTTGTTGTTTTTATCGATTATATATATATATATTGAGCTTGGAAATTGGATTAGAATACCAAAACTTAACTAATGGTTAAATTTGATCATCCGTATTGATCGAATGTAGGTGGTGACAGAGGTGGTGGGGACGTACTTCTTGATATTTGCAGGATGTGGTTCGGTGGTTGTGAACCTTAACAACGACAAGGTGGTGACTCTTCCCGGGATTTCCATTGTTTGGGGACTCGCTGTTATGGTATTGGTTTATTCAGTTGGACACATCTCTGGTGCTCATTTCAACCCAGCTGTCACACTTGCTCATGCTTCCACCAAAAGATTTCCATGGAAGCAGGTCAACCAAATTAATTAACCATAATATTCATATCCAAATAATTAAAACACTTAAATGTCTCAGTTTGTCTTAAATTAATATTGAATTTTCCTTCATTTGGTGTTGCAGGTGCCAGCATATATAATAGCTCAGGTGGTTGGATCCACACTTGCAAGTGGAACACTAAGACTTATATTCATGGGAAAGGATGACCATTTTGCTGGAACACTTCCCGCCGGATCTAACCTGCAAGCTTTTGTGGTCGAATTCATTATCACTTTCTACCTAATGTTCATCATTTCTGGAGTTGCCACCGATAACAGAGCGGTAATGAAAATTCTTACTTGTTTGCTGTCATATTTTCTATTGAACATTTTGATTAAGACTTGTTTAGCATATGGGGGTTGGCAAAGCACCTAGAAAATTTCTCTAACCTTTGACATAAAAAACGGGTTATTTAAATTGACCAACTGTATAAACATATTTGTAACATTTCGAATCACTTGGAATGCATGCTAGAAATTTACATCACAAGGCGCATTTCACGCGTATCAAAATCTATATTTGAATATTTTTCGCCCATATTTCATAGCTTTGGCTTATTTATTTTATTTTGGAAATCCTGCAGATTGGTGAGTTGGCTGGGCTTGCAGTTGGGTCAACGGTACTCCTAAATGTGATGTTTGCAGGGTATTAACTTATTCCAAAACTTAACTTAATATATAACAGTTTAGATTACTGTTATTCAATAAAATCAAGATGTTACACCTTTTTGAAGCAAGGACAAACTTAGAACTCATTTGTGCGTGAATAATATGTGACAGGCCAATCACTGGAGCATCAATGAATCCAGCAAGAAGCTTGGGGCCTGCTATTGTGCACAGTGAATACAGAGGAATATGGATATACTTGGTCTCACCCATTCTGGGAGCTGTGGCTGGTACATGGGCCTATAATTTCATCAGATACACAAACAAGCCAATGCGTGAGCTCACCAAGAGTGCCTCTTTCCTCAAAGGAAAAGGAAGTGGTGGAGCTGAGTGATGTAATAGCAAATGCAACAATGTTCTTTTCTCTCTTTTAAAAGTGATCAATACTGAAGTTTTGTTTAACGTGCAAAAGTCATGACTTATAACAAGCCAGATAAACGAGTCAAAATTATTCATTTAAATTTTGCTATTTATTAATAGAACCCGTCAATAAAACGCTAGAGTATATGAAAGTAGCATACGTGGAAAAATCATACGTAGATACAAATCTTTTTTTTTTTTTTTGGTAATCTATACAAATCCTATTTAGTAATGTGGTTCCGCTACATCTACAATATATACTCTAAACTAAACAACATTATGTAATCACGCTCTTCGTCCCAAAATATTGATGATTAAGATATTTTACAACGAAAATTCAACATGAAAAGGTTTTGCACTTTTAAGCATGTATTACGCCTCCTACCAAATTAAATACTATCAATAAATTCACATATCAAATGTTCGAACATTTTTTATCTATAATTAAATAACTAAAAATTAATGAATATACTAAATAACAAAGCTATTTTTTTCTCTTTATTAAAACTGAACTCATGTTTTCTGTTCGTTAAATGTAATAAACTAAAGTTATTAAAATATTGCTAATACTAAGTTATTTGATTAAAAAAATAACTTTATGTTTCAATAATGGGGAGGTTATACTTATTACCTTTTTTTCCTTATCATATAGTTTCTAATTTTTTTTTTAGTAAATAAAAGATTCTAATCTTTGTAAATAGAGATTAACGATTTTAAAAATTCGAAAGTTTTACAAAAATAATAAGGCATGCAATTACAAAACGCTGAGGCGTTAAAAGAACGTGAAAGGTACGGAAGTTGCAAAATGATCATCATCCAATAACAATATGGAGTCAAACATGACTCCCAGCAAGAGAAGATCAACATCATCTGTGCAAGGTAACAGGGATTCTCTAAGGTGTGGTTTTCCATACTCAAATCCATTTGTACTTTGCCCTTATTGGGCTTTTAACCTAGGAGTCTGACTTTTCCATCTCCACAGAGGATCTATTTCCACGTAATGAAAATCGATCCATCTCTTATAGAATTTCACTAATCTTATCATATGAAATTTTTGTTTATATTTTTCCCTATAAATATTCAAAAAAATTTAATAGAACCATAATTAATGCATTTTTAAATGAGAAATTTCCTTCCCATCACTAATCGTAAGTTTCGTTATAAGTTTCACTAATAATTCCATCTCTTATAGAATTTCACTAATCTTATCATATGAAATTTCCTTCCCTATAAGTTTCGTTATGAAGTCCGAACAGCCAATGTCGGACAAACGCAAGAAGTCACCAGCGTAGCACAATGTTTAATACACGGAGAAGGATCCGTTTATAAATATTTTTTATAAGTTTTTGCAAATTACACTATATACTCTCGGGAGAATATAATGTAACCTAGTATTCTCCCGAAAAAACATAGTATAATTTGTAAGAATTTGTAAACAAAAAAATTTATAAATATAACCCTCGTCTTAATACATATTTCTCTCAAATATAAATTGGTTGAACCGACATAAGTTTTTTGCACGTGAAACTATTAAGGCTAATGGTTTTCTCCTTTGCATGTTAAGCCATCCCTACCTTCAGAAATGGGATCGAATTGAGGACAAAATGGTTTGAACTTTTTGTTTAAGCAGTCACGGGGATGCCTGTGAAGAATTTGTATTTTGAAGGCTTTTTTACCATTGATATCAGATCCGAATCAAAAGTGAGTAATCTTTTTCTAAAAATTGAATATTTAATGGAACAGCACTCTACAATGTTTTAGTTCCTCAACAATCCAAACATCACAAACATATCATAACCTTACCTTCAACAGATCTTTCCTTTTTAAAAGGGGGAGGAGGGTAAAACGAAAATTTGTATTTAAACACAGAAGACGAGACGTGTTAGCAGCAACGCATTCATATACTGCTAATCAGGCACGCTAAAGATCCAGATAGCTAATAAACATGTACAATCTCTCTGTGCACATCGAAGCCATAAAACGAACATATGATAAAGCGAGGCCCTTGAAAGCGTATTCATTTCAAGTTCAACCATATGCACCAGATTACAACAAAAGTAGTAATAACTCTAAAAAGTCTCAAACTATTGACATGCATTACCATGTCATGAGCTACTGTATCTGGTTCTATGTTAATTCATATCCAATTTCCCTTGTGCCAGCTTTAAATATGAAAAAACACTAGCATTTGTAGATAAGAATACAGATTATGTAAGATAAACTGCATACATTATAGTTATATTTCGATTCTTATAAAAGTGGATACATATCCAGGATCTTGGGGGTTTACATCCAACACGCAGGCTCCTGTCTTCGTTCAAAACAATTGGATGGACTTCACGCATAAAATTTTATATACAATGCAAAGGAAGCCAAAGTATCGGCCAATATATCCGTAAAAATAGAGAGAAACTAAGTGGCAATAACTGGCCTTTATAATATTGGGCGAGTATAGGAGGGATAGATAGGAGAAAATGGAAGAACATCAGCAAATCAAAAGATTCATAGATGAATAAAACCGCAGTAACATAGTCATTGTTAATGGCAATAACTCAAGAACTGGGGAACAAAAATGAGAATGATACTTATAATAGTCATGCCCATCTGCTGGGACTCTAGCTTTGGGAACCAAAAACTGAGAATGAAACTACTGAAGAAACAGATTTTGGAACTTCCTTGATAGGCACCTAAGTAAACCACATATGGCAAATAGAGAAAGAAAGCTAAAATAAAACTAATGTTGATGAGGAATTTCTATGTGGACCTAGTAGACAATGAATAAGAGTCGACTAAGAGCAAGACAATTGGTTTAGTTTTTTCTCTTGTAACAAGTGTCTCCTGTCATTTAGTTTGTTTTTGTTTTTTCTTCTAATAAGTGTGTTATGTCATTTGACAGGTGTGATGAATAGTTAGGATAGATTAGTGTTTGTGACTTAGTGGCTAGGTATTGTAACATATATATATATATATATATAGGTTTTGCGCCAAACTAAGGAATAAGAATCTAGAACTCATATTATGGTTATAATCTCATTCCCATTGTAAAATTCTTCTAGAGTTGTTGACGGTTTGATTAATTGAAGATCTCTTTGATAGACCATAGGGTTTATCAATTGGTGCACTCGTAGTCATAGAAGCTAAGGTCTAACCAAGAAAATCATCAATTAATCAACAACAATTTAAGACTGCCAACATTTCTAGAAGGATTGTTAGATAGGGTAAGAGAATAACCAAGATACAAGTTCCAAACTTTTTTTACACATATTATGTTACAATACCTAGCCAATAAACCACAAACAGCTGGTCTCTCGTAACTAAATTCTTATCACCCAAAATAACTATCTTTTGATAGCAAACAATACACACTTATTACAAGGAAAAAATAAAACAACATAAATACCCTCAACAAACTAAACGACATAGACACTTATTACAAAAGAAAAAACCAAACGAACAGTCATTGCTCTTGATTGACTCTTTTTCAATGTACCCAATGGTAAACATGTAAATACTACATCCACGTCGGAATTCTCTTAGCTCTGTCTATATGGTTTGCCCAAGTGTCTACCACTCCCTGGTATGTCACTCTCTACAATAGAATGGAAGCCGTTAAAGGAAGTTGAAACAGGTGAACAGATACAGGAGAGAATAAAAAATTCAAACCTTGATGATGTTAGCAATGCTTCCCCCAAAGAAGGTACATGACATTAAGCTGTGAGATGAATTCACCAGCAGATTGCCACATAATAGGAATAGAATTTGGGAAGGGACGAAGCTATTGTTACTTGAGATTACAGTAACATGCTCTGACACAGCTACAGCAGGAAAAGAATCCAGATAGGGTTTAAATTAATTTTGATACAGCCCTAGAAGTTTCTGAGTTCCCTTCACTAGTTTTGCTCTCTTTCATCTATTTTAGCTTGGTCATTTCTTCAGAAAGAAGTAACATACATCTTATACCTATCACTCTATATTTTATTGATACATTAAAACCGAAAATAAGGGGTCTGGCTTGTAATAGAATGACATCATAGACATAGTTGAAGAGATAATACTATCCAAGCTGGAAACAAAAAGATTATCCTCAGTCATATCTCAATCTGTATAAAGTATTGCAAAACTATCCAAGACAGTAAGCATATAGATTTTATTCCATGTTCAATTGATAAACATAAATTACAAATGACACAATAGATATCAGAGACATAAAATGGTACTCAGAAAAATCACCTTCGGCATCCAAAATCAACAATAGAATTCAATATTCAAACGAGAATGCTTATAGTTTATGATGAATGCACTGACTCGACATACTTGATGAAACACTTTGACGTTGAATGTGTAAAACAAGTATCGGCATATTACAAGGCCCAAATTGCTAGCTTTTTTTTTTTTTTCCTCTTCTGCCAACTAACATGGTTCAAACATAAGAAGCAAGAACATAAGCTTATTATAATGAAATAACAAAGAACTAAAAGCACTACTAGAAAACCCTCTCAGAATCATCAATAGCAACAGAGCAGCATGTGATGAAACTCATTCTGACCGATTAGCGAACCTCTCAACCTTGTTGTCCGTCAAATTGAGACCAACCATGGCCTCACCCAACCCACAGCTAACCTCAGCCAACACCTCAGGGTCACTGTAATGAGTAACAGCCTGCACAATCGCCCTCGCACGTTTCGCAGGGTCACCGCTCTTGAAAACTCCTGAACCAACGAACACACCATCGCAACCCAACTGCATCATCAACGCCGCATCGGCGGGAGTAGCAACACCGCCGGCGGCGAAGTGAACCACCGGAAGCCTCCCGAGCTGCTTGGTCTGCATAACGAGGTCATAAGGAGCAGCAATTTTCTTGGAAAACGTGAAGACCTCATCGTCATCCATGTTCCTGAGAACCCTAATGTCACCCATGACGGACCTCACGTGCCTAACGGCCTCGATGATGTTGCCGGTGCCGGCTTCTCCTTTGGTGCGGATCATGGCGGCGCCCTCGCGAATGCGGCGGAGGGCCTCGCCGAGGTTGCGGCAGCCGCAGACGAAGGGGATGCGGAAGTTGTGTTTGTTGATGTGGTTGTCATCGTCGGCGAGGGTGAGAACCTCGCTCTCGTCGACGTAATCGACTCCGATGGCTTCGAGGATCTGGGCCTCAACGAAGTGGCCGATGCGGGCCTTGGCCATGACAGGGATGGTAACGGCCTGCTTAATTTCCTTGATAAGCTGAGGGTCGCTCATTCGGGCCACGCCGCCTTGGGCCCGGATATCCGCAGGGACGCGCTCCAAGGCCATGACGGCGCAGGCCCCAGCCTCCTCGGCGATGCGGGCCTGTTCCGCGTTGACAACGTCCATGATGACTCCGCCGCGGAGCATCTGGGCCAGGCCCACCTTCACGGAGAATGGTGACTTCTTAGTCTCGGTAATTGCGCCGTTGCCATAGACGGTTACAACCCCAGATCCTTCCATTGAGAAGGTTAAGATGATAAAACACACAGAGACAGAAAAGAGAGGGAAAAGAAGGTTTATGTGAATGTGTGTGAGTGTATGGCCTAAGGAGAGAAGAGAAGAGAGGGAGAAGCGTTATGGATGATGGAGGCGAGGAATGTGAAGTTGTGAAGGAAAAGAAATGTGAGGGTTAAGTAGCGCTCACATCTCTCTCTTAAATGAATCGTTGCCTTCAAACCCTTCGAATGAAAAACAGCCACGCATTACTTTGCGCTAAGTGATAACTGATAAATGATAATTATCTTTCTTTTTTTTTTCTCTCCCTCTCAAATTATTATTCTAGTTTTCTTTTTTTAACTATGTGTAAAGATATTTCCCTTTTTTTTATGCTATTATTAGTTTCGCTACTTTTAATGTACAAATAAAATAAAATAAAATTGTTCCGAAAAATCGCCCATCATATCATAGATAAAGCCATCACATAATGCGCATTGAAGTCCATTTGATATTTTGATTTCTTACTATATTTTATCAGACAAAGGTTCTTATGTTTGGCAAGAAGCTACACACAGATGGTGATTTATTATTATCTCTGATTCTATTAAAACACTTTGAATGATGGTTGTTCTCTGAAGAAGGAATGAAATAATTTTAGAAATGGAATTCATTTTTTAATATATAGTAATTTCATTTATGTTATATATTAAATAATTGTGATTTTGTTTTACATTAATATTATGTACTAAATAAAATAAAATTTCTTGATTCCTTATGAATTTTTTTTCTTTTATCAAGTTCTCGTATATTTCAAACTAAAAATGATTCTATAAAATTCATTTTAAAACAGTAATACAAAAATTTAAATAAATTTGTCTAAAACTATAATTAATTTTCGCTGCATATGTTTTTATAATTTATGTTTGCAACTTTGTGAAACTAATCTTCATTTACACATTTAATTGGGTGGTCCTGACCACGAGGAATTTCCAATAAAATGTAAACCTTAAAGACAAAAAAAAAAAAATTATGATACATTTTTTTTTATCAGCCGTACATTATCAAATCAAATTCAATTTTTTCGCCACGTGTTTTTCAAAAAAATCGATTTGTGTTAGATTCTTTTCCCAACTAACAAGAGATCTACGGAACTCGTGTATTCATTTCTTGTAGTTGTGTTATATGCATTTAGCCTCTTGTTTACGTACTAAAAAATAAATAAGTCTTTTGTTTCTGGAAAAAAATAAAATAAATGGTCCAGTGAGAATAAAAATTATTTGGAACATTTCATTTTAAAAGTAAAATAACTATTTTCAAGTAGTATTTGATTGATTAGGTATTAATTAATATTCAATTCATTGGTTTGAATATATATATTTGGTAAACATTTAAAAGTGTATTTTTTTTTTTTTTGGTAACCAGTTTAAAAGTGTATTTTACTTATATGTGATCATGTAATGTTACGCTATTTAATAAGTTTGATATTTATATTATTAACAATATAATTAAAATTATTAAATAAAGGCTTAACATAATATTAGATGATATTAAAAAAATGAAATTTTTAATTTTATTTCATCCAGTTCATTTCATTCTTATTTTTTGAATATCAGGTGTGAAAAAAACCAATTATTTATTTTTTTTAATGTTGAATATAAAGACAAGAAAGCAAGGATGGCAACCATATTTAAACGGAAAACACAGACAGATTTTCTTGAAATATTTTTAAGCACTGGTGGCATATCCTAGGCCAACAGAAAGGGGAGAAAGGAAAGAAAAATCGGTGGCTTACCTTAACGTGACTGCTTTTGTAGTTATCTTATAAATAAGAAAAAGAAATATTTTACATTGAATTCCTAAAAATATAATACAGAATACAGAATATAATTACACAAAATTAAAATAAAATTATAAACTATAAAACAAGTAAAATATAAACTATATTGAGAACTTTACTATCAAAATATTTAAACACTCCTTTCGCTAGAGGTAATAGCTGCATTTTTTTATATTAAAAAAATGACAATTGAATTTTCTTCTTTAAAAGTTTTGCTATGGACAAATGACAATTTTAAACAGAAAAAAAAAAACCAAAGAAAAAAAAAAGGAGAATTGGCAATATGTGAAATAAAGGCTATAATTAGCTTAAGAAGACGAGATAAAGGAATGAAGGGGGGCCAGTGGTTTCCAATCCTGAGTTTCTTTCCTTCCCCACAGGAATATTAGTGGGTTGTGGAATTCAACTTGTCCACTCCTCCACCTCTCTCCACTTTTGTATTTTTATTTTTGCGGGATATTTGGTAGAAAATAAATTTTTTTTTTCCGAGAATTTTGATTTTCAAAAATATGATTTTTACATTCAGTTTACGAAATATCCAAAAATTTAAAATTTAAAAAAAATCAGTTTCTCGAGAATCCTGCCAAAAGTCACGTACCAAACGGTCACTCAATTTCTACGTAATAAAACAATGGGAAATGTGTATATTATTTTAAAAGAAATAAAATTATATCATTTTAAATGAGAAAAAGAAATAAATGATAGAAGACAGTGGACAAAAAAAAAAGTATGAATCTCATGTCTTTATAAAAATAAAATGACATAACTTATGTCATTTAAAATGACAAACATCAAACCCATAAAACAATTATCAATTGTTCTCTTGTTTTAATTTATTCGACCCGGGCCTAACTCAACCAATTAGAGTTCCAAATCTCTTTGCCAGAATCTTACTTTGCTTGTAATTTTGACTCACTTTAGACCATTTACCTTTTCTTTTAAATTGTAATATTGAAAAATCTTTCAAATTGAGTTGTCTCGTATTTGTCGCTCTCTTCTTTAATTACTTTCTCTTGAAGTTGCAAATGAGAATTAATAAAGTTACAAATTTTTTTGGTGATTATTTAAAAATTATAGCTTAAAAATTATTTTAAAACTTAAGTTATGCTGTAAAACAAAAGTAACTAGGAGAAAAATAGACAAAGAAGAAATAATTGTAACAGAATATAAAGATAAGAGAGAGATGTAGAGGAATATCATCTTCTTGTACCATAGTATCTTTTGAAGCTTTGTACATGCTTCTATTTATAGACTCACAAGACAAGGTATGTTACAATAGAATAAATGACCAGAATTACACCTCTTTAGTGGTTATGATTTAGAATTAAATATCCAAAAGTCATATTGGGTCTGTTTGATTGTGTTCTGGTTTTTTTGTTCTTAAAACTGTTTTGTAAAATAGTTATGGAAACAGTTGTTTTCTATATTTTTTAATTTTTGAAAGTTAAAAACCAAAACAGAAAACAAAAACAACTCAGACATGTTCTCTAAATTTGATTCTAAAAACAAAAAAACAGTTATAGTTTTCAAAACATTTTTTACAAAACAGGCCTTACCAAACGAGTTTTTTTTGTTCTGAAAACTAAAAAACTGTTCTTAAAAACAACAATCAAACAAAGCCATTATTTTGGGATTATGGACATCTAACAATCATTTTATATATAACACTCCACTTTGGATGTTCAATAAACAACCAAAAAAAATCCTATTGGAAGGAAATACGTATTAGAAGTTGTTTCATTAAAAATCTTACTAGGAAGACTGATCAATGGGACAAAATCATGGTGAAGGAAAAAAGAGTGCAGCACATATCTCACTCCCCCTGATAATAACATTATTTAATATCTCTCAGTTTATGCATCTCAATCTTGTATACAAGCTTCTCAAAACTTAAAGTATGTAATGCCTCGGTAAATAAATCTATCATATTATCACTTAAACGAATTTGTTGAACATCAATCTCACCATTTTGTTGAAGATCGTGAGTGAAGAATTTTTTGTGAAATATGCTTTGTTCTATCTCCTTTTATGTATATTCCCTTTAATTGAGCTATGCACGCAATATTATCTTCGTGCAATATTGTTGGAACCTTTTTTTCTAATTGAAGACAGCATGCTTTTCGGATGTGTTGCGTCATTGACCTTAACCAAACACATTCTTGACTTGCTTCATGAATCACTATAATCTTTGCATGATTTGAAGAAGTGACTGTTATAGTTTGCTTTGTTAAACGCCATGAAATAGTCGTGCTTCCATTTGTGAATAAATATCCTGTTTCGGATATAGCTTTGAGTGGATCAAATAAATATCATGCATTTGCAAAACCAACAAGTTGATGTCCACAATCATTTGAATAAAGTAAACCCGTATCAGTATTTCCTCGAAGGTATCGAAATATATGCTTAACGCCATTCCATTGTCTTCGTGTTGGAGAAGAACTAAATCTTGCTAATAGATTTACAGAAAATGCTATATTAGGATGTGTATTATTAGTAAGATACATTAGTGTCTCAATTGCACTAAGATATGGCACTTCGGGACCAAGAAGTTCTTCCCCATTTTCATAGCGTTGAAATGGACGTTTATTTATGTCAAGCGATCTCACAACCATTGGGGTACTCAATTAATTTGCTTTATCCATGTAAAATCTCTTTAAAGTTTAAATTACAAGTCAACTGACAAATAAATATTTATTAAGGCGATTATGCCATATATGCCTTTATTTCTTTATTCCATTTAATGATATTTGAAGCTTTATTCAACAATTTTTTTGGAAATTTTTATATGCTTCAAGAATTTTGAATCCTTATAGGATTTTCATATAAATTTCATTATCGATTGAATAAGAATATAAATAGGTTATAATAACATCCATTAGACACATGCCAATTTTTCATATATTGCTATATTAGTAAGATATCTGAAGGTGATCACATCCACCACAAGAGAATATATATATTTCACATAATAAATGGGAGACTTTTGCAAAAATCATTATGCTACAAGTCGTGTTTTACATCTTATGATTTCATTTTTCTCATTACATTTTTGCACATTTGTACCTCACTAGCTTTACACCTTCATGTGTTTGGATTATAGGTCTAAAATCATTGTGCTACAAGTCGTGTTTATATAATGACATAACTAAAAGAGATCTCTTCATTTTCATTATTTTTAGGTACATGAATCTCCCTCGAGGTTTAATCAAAGTTATGTCTTCAGGATTAACAATTGTCTCAATATTATGACCATCTTGATCATTTGTTTCTTTCCTCTCTTTGAGGATTTTTATCTTTGGAACCGATCATTTTTTTTCATTTTTTAAGTGTAGTTTATCAATATGAATTAGAGCATTTAC